TGTGATTATTTGTGTTTTAGCTTCATATTTTCAGGACAGAATCTCCTTATATTCACATACAAACAGATTTTCAGAGATATCATGAGATCATTGATTTGCATTTCGGCTTAGTCCCTTTATTTATCAGGGGTCACCACAGCGGAATGAACCGCCAACTTATCCAGCACATGTTTTACACTGTGGATTCTTTTCCAGCTGCAACCCATCTCTGGGAAACACCCATACACACTCATACACTATGGCCAATTTAGTTCATCAGTTCTCCTGTACCGCATGTGTTTGGACTGTAACCGGAGCACCCGGAGGAAACCCACGCCAACATGGGGAGAACATGCAAACTCCACACAGAAACATCAACTGACCCAGCTGGGACTCAAACCAGTGACCTAAGTGCTGTGAGGTGACACTGAGCCCCCGTGCCGCCATCTTCAGATAATTTATTTCTAGAATCATCCGTGTGTTTCTGAACGGTTGTTCGCAATGCCGATTATGAACAATGACATCATGCAACCCAGGCTCATTCTGATTACGCACCCCTGTATGCATTTCTGGAGACAGCGGCTGTTTCTCACTTCCAAGAATGCAGAGTTCGCACTTGCATTCTTGTGGAGACTGGTCTTGCCAGGTGTCCTCGGAAGAACGAACTCGGGAGACCGCGAGAACTGAGGACGTGAGGAATGAGATGCTGCGTTCTTCCTGATGGTCACATGACCTTTAGGCGTTTTAATGAAAAAATATTAAACATTACAGCATTTATACAACGATATGTTGTTTTTTCCCTTTTCAAAATATATACACTGCATGAAAACATTATCAATGTACGTTGCGCTATACAAATAAAACAGATTTTAATACGAATTACAGCAGACAAGCATCCTTAATTTATTTATTCCTTTATTAAGATGCTCATGGTATTGTTTATATTCACCACTTCATTTATGGAGACTCCTGAGGTAAATAAGTTATGCCTCTGAACTTTTATAATAAATCTAAATAAAACGCTGCAATTCGTGCGTCCTCTGTTCTTGTAGTCTTGAGTATAGGAACTGAACTTTGGCAGCTGATGATAACGTTACATGAGAACACGAAGACGGCTGAAGAACGCGTATTGAGAAACAGTCAGCACGTTTTTTTGTGTGCAGTTTTTGTGAATCCACCAGAGGGCGCTGTGTACTCTTTTACAGATCTCAAATTTCTCACTTGAGTGCCCTTCACACCTGCTGTTCTCACATAAATCCACTAGAGGCCGCTGTCGACTGACTGACTGAATGTCTGACCAACCAACCGACTGATCGTCTGACCCGCCCTCCACCTTCCCTAAACCCAACCGATAGTGTTTTCAAAAGCAATCCAGAAGAATCCTCACCCTGTTATTTACTTGTTTATTTTTATTTTATTTTTCTGCTTTTGTTTTTGTCTTACCAGCTTTCTGGAACCATTCAGAAATATAAACCCTATCGTCGTGGTCAACTCCTCTCAGCGTCTCAAGTCTCCCTACAAGGTGAGCCGCTGGGCAAACTGGTAACAGCGGAAAAGCCGTATATACAGAGGTAAGCAGTCAGCTGGTAGCGCGAAAAGGTGTCATACCGTCCTGTGGCGTTCATTTTAAAGATATAATGCAGCCATACACACCTCTGGCTACATAATTCAGGCTCTTCAGAAATGTATATAGGGCTACGCTTTCAGAATGAGCCACTGTTGAAATTATGAGGGATTCAAGTGCGGTAAATGCTTTTAATAACAATTAAAAATACAGGAATCACAATTAAATCTGTGTTATAGAAAATAACGACTTCACGAGAGTAACAAGACACATATGGGGAGACAATCAAGGGGAACCAACGACTAAAGGTTATGATGATATTACATGAGGCAAAGTTAAGAGCAAAAGAAAACCAGTTGAGACAGAAAGCAATTAGATCGGGATCCAAGACACTGTTTCATTTCTCTTTCTCAATAAGAATCACTCTGCGTAATTGCACGGCAACATTGCTAAAAAGATGACTCTTGAGATGCACTTCCTCTAATTCATCTTTTCAAAAGTGCAAAACACACCCAACATCAATTAATCAGACTAACAGACATAAGACGTTGTGTTTTTTACTGTCATAAAGGCGACCTACACTCACTGGCCACTTTATTAGGTACACCTTTTCAACTTCTTGTTAACGCAATTTTCCAATCAGCCAATCACATGGCAGCAGCTCACTGCATTTAGGCATGTAGACATGGTCAAGAGGATCTGCTGCAGTTCAGAGCGAGCATCAGAATGGGGAAGAAAGGGGATTTAAGAGACTTTGAGCGTGGCATGGTTGTTGCTGCCAGACGGGCTGCTCTGAGTATTTCAGAAACTGCTGATGTACTGGGATTTTCACGCACAACCATCTCTAGGGTTTACAGAGAATGCTCCGACAAAGAGGAAATATCCAGTGAGCGGCAGTTCTGTGGGCGCAAATGCCTTGTTGATGGTCAGAGGTCAGAGGAGAATGGCCAGACTGGT